TCATTCTGCCGCCAACCAGAAAGTGAGCAAGAGCAGTTCGCGTGTGGGAGCAGTAGAGGAGAGCAACAGTTCGGGAGCGTGTGATTTCACGGGTGAAAACACCTTCAGGTGCGAGGTCCTTTATTTCCCTGTCTATTGTGTGAGACCCTGCATTGCGTCATATGTGATACGCATGCCTGTAGCCAAACTAGGCTTGGCACCCCCTGCCTTCTGTGAGACTCTGCCATTGTGTAATGGGCGGGACCCTGTCTTCTGTGAAGCCCTGCCTTTCTGTGAGACCCTCTGTGAGATCTTGCCTTCTGTGAGACCATGGCTTCTGTGAGGCCTTGCCTTCTGTGGGACCCTGGCTTCTGTGAGGCTTTGCCTTCTGTGAGGCCCTTCCTTCTGTGAGACCCTGACTTAGTTTATTTTATGATATCCTGCCTTCTGTGAGACCCTGCCTTTGTTTAATGGGCGAGACCCTGTCTTCTGTGAGGCCCTGCCTTTCTGTGAGACCCTGCCTTCCTTGATGTGTGAGACCCTACCCTGCCATCTGTTCTAATTTATATCGAAAACTGTGCTACATATCTATAGATTGTATCTTGCTCCTATCGAAGACCAAATATAAAATCCTAAGCTTCAGTTATGGAAGAGTGTCCAGGGCCGGTCCTGTCATTCTGCCGCCAAACAGAAAGTGAGCAAGAGCAGCTCGCGTGTGGGAGCAGTAGAGGAGAGCAACAGTTCGGGAGCGTGTGATTTCACGGGTGAAAACACCTTCAGGTGCGAGGTCCTTTATTTCCCTGTCTATTGTGTGAGACCCTGCATTGCGTCATATGTGATACGCATGCCTGTAGCCAAACTAGGCTTGGCACCCCCCTGCCTTCTGTGAGACCCTGCCTTTGTTTAGTGGGCGGGACCCTGTCTTCTGTGAAGCCCTGCCTTTCTGTGAGACCCTCTGTGAAGTCTTGCCTTCTGTGGGACCCTGGCTTCTGTGAGGCTTTGCCTTCTGTGAGACCCTTCCTTCTCTGAGACCCTGCCTTTGTTCATAATGTTGGACCCTCTGTGAGACTTTGCTTTCTGTGAGACCTTGCATTCTGTGAGGCCCTGCCTTCTGCGAGGCCCTTCCTTCTGTGAGAGTTAGGCCTCAGTTCAACATGTGACACCTTGTGTTCTGTGAAACCAGGCCTTTGTTTCAGATGTGAAACCATGCCTTGTGTGAGTCCCTGCTATGAGTGACACGCCTTGCTTTCTGTGAGACCTTGCCCTCTGTGAGACCTTGCCTTCTGTGAGATCCTGGCTTCTGTGACGCTTTGCCTTCTGCGAGGGGCCTTCCTTCTGTGCTGCCTTCTGTGAGACCCTGCCTTTGTTTAATGGGCGAAACCCTGTCTTCTGTGAAGTCCTGCCTTTCTGTGAGACCCTGCCTTCCTTGATGTGTGAGACCCTGCCATCTGTTCTAATTCATTTGAAGATATTTGAAGATGTTTGATGGGCGAGACCCTGCCCTACCTTGCCCTCTGTGAGACCATGCCATTTCAAGCTCGTTCATTTGAAGATGTTTTGACCTACAAGAAACAGGAGACCACTGCTGTCCTGATTCTCCTTTGAGAATCACATGTGATGGATCTGCCCACAGGCTTTGTACGAACCTGAGCCCTTGACATTGCAAACTCGTGCTGGATACCATCCAAGCGCACTGACTGAGAAGTTTGAGCCACAGTTCTCGCAAACTGTCAAATTCTCAAATTGTCATGTTTTTATGTCCCTTGTCATGTTGTCATATTTTTTCATTATCTTCCATTATTTTCCCTAATTTCCCATGTTTTCTCATATTTTTAAAGGGGTTTTTCTCACCCCATTTGGGTCTCACCCCCCAAACTTTTCAGTGAAAATATGTTGGATGTTTTCTTGTCTGCCATTTTTTATCATTTTTGTTGAGACAGACAGACTGACACGTTTTTCTCCCCTGTTTTTAAGGTTGGTTTCATCAAGGCTTCCAAGGCACTTGGCTTTCTGTGCTTAAGTTTTTTGCCTTTCGAGGAATCCTCAGGCTGCAGAACGGCCAGCTTTTGCCTCTGGTAAACCTACGTGGCAGTAATATATGCAAAGATCCCAGAAGTGGATGATTTCAGTATTGAAAGTGAGCATTTGCATGGGTAAAAGGATCACTTTGGAACATTTGCATGGATTGATCATTGCCATGGAGGTAAACTTCAACAACTGTTCCCTAGGATCTGCTACCCTGGAGTTGGGCAAAGCCATCCAACATAGATACCCCATGCACAAAAAAATCAGGTTTTAGCTTTGAAAGTCCTCGATTTTTTCTTGGACTTGGAAAACTTGGAAAACATACCCTGGTTGGTGGTAAACCTACCCCTCTGAAAAATATGAAAGTCAGTTGGGATGATGAATATGGAAAAAAAAATAATAAAAACACCAACCAGTACCAGTCTTTGCAATTCCCGTGATTGAACAGTTTCTGTGATGTGACTTTGAATGCCCTTGTGATCTTTTGCTTTCCTGGAGGAATAACATGCAAGTGGTCCGCATATTTATTGATGGTTGGAATCCCTATGAAATGACCAACTGATCATCAACCAACCAGGTCTTTTTGTTCACACTGCTTCAGTTGCTGAAATCAAGAGGCGCTGGATCTTTTTCTTTTTCTTCGACCTCATCCGGCCAACTTGGCCACCGAAAATCATGCTACATGATTTCCCGTTCAACAACGGTTGTATCTCCGTCTGAAACTTACTGATGCTTCGTAGAGAATGGGGGAATGGGATGATTGTTAATACTGAATTCTGGATCATTAAAACATTCTCTGCTAAGCACCAGTAAGAAAACTGTCCCATCCATCTCATCTCGGTTTACTTCAACACAAGAAAGCGTTACGTGGTTACAACTCAGGAAACTAATGGACATTGCTGATTGGAGAGACATGGCACTAGGCATTGAACATTTTCTTCAACATCTGGGTCTGAATTAGGGAACTCGACAACCAAAGGCCGAGCCTGCACACAATTTTTATCTATAGAGGCGACCCTGAAAATGATGGGTTGCATTTTTTTCGCGGCCTTGAGGAACTTTTCTATGTGGGGACTGTGGGGAAGCTTCACTAAGAGTATGAAATAACCAAATTGTTTTTGATGTTAGTCTTGTTTAAGGAGAATGGATAGTTGGGGATAGGGTACCAGTATCATCGCCCGAAACGTCCCAAATATTTGTGGTTCGACTGCAGCCGACCAAACATGGCAATGGTCAGTTCTCCATTTAGTTCAGTGATTTTCACGGTGATTTTCACCTCCATTTAGGTCAGAGATCGGAGATTTTCCAGCCATAGAGCTGATGACACCAAAGGATATACCCTCTGGTAATGACTAACAGTTTGCGAACTTGAAGCCATGGCCATGGCCCATAGAAATAATAGCGGATTTACCCAGCTATAAAATGGTGGATCTTTCCATAGTTAAACGTAAACGTTTACCAGAGGGTATTCTCCTGGGATTTCTCCTGAAACTTCCATCTCTGACCAAGGTCACCCCATGAAAACCAACCATTCACCATGGTTTTACCATGATAGATATCATTGACCATCATCCCATTCAAAATGGTCATTTTCCATAGTTAAACATAAACGTTTACCAGAGGGCCAACCACCATGTTCCTATGGTTTTCCTATGGTTTTCCTATGGTTTTCCTATGGTTTTCCTATGGTTTTACCATTGACCAAGTTACTGTGACTTCGAGATCTGCTTCTGTCCTTGCGGATTGCTGGCTTGGAACCTCCGGATGGCACCTTTGGGGGGATGAACTTTTTAGGGGAGATCACGGCCAAATTCGGGATGGAGAGCACATGGCCGTCTCAGATCAAGTGATGATCCCATCAAGTGAAATACCAGTTATAATATACATATCCAACTATAAATTCATGAATGGATCAGGATCATATTCATAAATTCATGATGCATCCAACTACATACCCAATTATGAATTTCCCATGAAATAAAATGAACTTGGGCCGTTTTTCCCTTGATATTCCATACAATACCAGTATATCCTATTATCTATATACTCGTACAGTAACCGCGAAAAAGGTGCCGATATAATTTCCAGGATGGTAGTTCGATGATGTTAACTTTTTGGCATCTTTTTTTGGGTTGTAATTAACATATCCAACTAGAACTACCATACAAATCCATAAAATAGCGTAACATGACATGGGGCAGTCATCCCATATAGTCCACGCAGGAAGTCGACGGCCGTGGCGTTCCGTGCTTCAGCTTGTTTCAGCAGTCGCTTCCATGCAGGAAGTCGAAGGCAGAGCTAGCCCAAGACTTTGTCTCCAGAGCCATTGGTACATCATAGCCGAATCATACTTTGTGGCTCATCCCACTTAGTAAGTGGGCTATAACCCCAATTATAAGTGGATTAACCCTACTTATCCCATGTCAATCACTGGGGTTATAACCCACTTACGATTCGTGGGATGAGCCATCAAGTAGCCGAATGACATCTTCTGATTGAATCCATGGGAATGACTCAGGATCCGATTTATTGGAGGTACGTAAACGTACCATATGTTTGGCCATATTTTGCCGGGATATTCTCCTTACATAGGCCTAAAACATATAGGCCTAAAATATATGGTAGGTACCTCCAATCAATCGGTTCCTGAAATGGCCATTGATTGAATGGCCATTTCTTTTTCAAAGTGGCATTGACATGTTGCGGCTACCAATCATTATTCAAACTGCTCCATGCTCTGTCAAGGATTTGTTTTTGCCTGCAAGAGAAGGACCCGCGATATTTTTTTTCTGAACCATTTTTCGTGTAAATTGAACTATGCTAGTGTTATCTATAGTTCATGGGGCTTTTTATAAACCAACTTTCAATGGATTGGTTTAAGGGAAAAAAATACAGGAAAACACCCATATTTCATGGGAAAATCTATGGCTTCCTGTAGATTTTCCCTTCAGCCAATTGAAACTCATAGAGCCGGGGGGGCACAATATTGAAGCAACCGACCAAAGTCAAGTCTTGCCGTCGCTCCTTTTGGCGCTCTTTCTCTTTCTCGTCCTTCTCCTGTGCCCGGCAGGAGATGCTGAATGCCAGAAATTCATGTTTCATTCTTTCAATGGGAACCTCAGGATCCTAAAATGGAGGTACTGTACCATATAAAGCCATATTTTGGGTGTATCCCCGTACATAGCCCTTACATAGGCCTTGTATATGGTAGGTACCTCCAATTTAGGTTCCTGAAACGGCTATTGATTCTTGATAACCCTATCCCCCAAATATGGAGTATGGTGGATATATCTATGGTCTATAGTTTATTTATGGGGCTTATCCTACTTATAACTGGCTGAATAATCCTATCCCCTCGTTCATATCACACAACCTCATTCTATGGTCCCAAATATGTATGTGTAAATCTCTACATCCACTATGGTTTTGGGCGTGTTTCATATGAACAGGGGATTGCATTAGTTTGTTGATCCGGGATCTTTTTGAATAGTTCAGCCATCTAATCCCTTCCAAAAGGTCTAGAAATCTGGACCATTATGGAACTATATGGCTATAATCCACCAACGTTTGAAAGCAAGAGTGGGGATATGAGACAAAACCAAATTGTCAAACTGCTGCAAAATTGGAGCGAAAATGCGGTAGGCTCAGCAAGAATGCCAAAATCAGGCGACAAATTTTGGCTTCATGGAACATGTGATATAAATCATTTATACCCAGACGGGTTTGCCAGTGGTTCCACCCTCCAAATGGCAATGGATTTGGAGGCATCCTATTTTCAGAGCCAGATGAAGCTTACACTTGGGTGCATCACCATCATTTCTACTGAAGTTGGACATTCATGGGAGGATCAGGAATAGCTAAGCACTTGACAACAGTTATCTCAATTCTATACATTGCCAGTCTTAAACATACCCTGCAAAGACATCGGATGATTACTATGTATATATCCATAGGATCCATGTATGCTATATATGGTAACATTTACTATCAATATATCCCACATGTTAGCATAATAGCTATATATATACCATACATGGATCCTATTGGGATATCTATACATATATATATATATATCAATTTATAGCAAACTTCTGCAGCATTAAGTCTGTGCAAAAAAGGATCCATCCAGTCGGTTTTTGCAGTTAAGATCCAATAAACAAAACGTTATTTGATTTAATGGTTAAATCCTTAAAGCTGGTACATCCCCATTTATACTGTTAAGGTTAGCAAAAGAACAACAGCTGTGGGAACTCTCCAGAACAAACCTGTAAAGTTCATCCGTTTGGGGACCCCAAACGAAAAAAAAAGTAATTCCGATGACGTCACGAAGGCTTGGGTCGCAACATCATTTATCATCATTTATCCGGATTAAAGCCCAAGACAAAATCCTATATCAGTCATAATCAGCCTATCATGTCCCTGAGAGTATACCCAAAAAAACAATAGAAAACATCTTGTGTCATAATTTTATCACTATTTCAGTGGGATTTTCCCGTTCTATCTCTTTCGGGGTTATGGGTTGTAATATCCCAACTTACATGATTGGTGATGATTGAAAATCCAGATTTCATGGATCATCACCGCTTCGCAAGGCATTCTGAATCCAGGGGATCGGGAATCGGGGCTTTCAATTTGGAGCAGCCATATGAAGCTAGATGATGGTTGGTGGTTTCAACCAACCCCTCTGAAAAGTGATGGACTTCATCGGTTGGGATGATGAAATTCCCAATATATGGGAAAATAGAAAATGTTCCAAACCACCAACCAGGATGGTTTGTAAACAACTTTGAACTGCGGACCACCTTGGATATCTTGGATTAATGGATTGCTCCATCTGCCAGCGCCGCAAAGCTGCTCCCAGCAAAATCGCCCCAAACACCAGGTGTCTGCACAAGGGCAGCGCGCAAGGCCTTGGATTCCTTGGATTTCTCTTTGTTTTGATCTTTGTCCTTCGACTCCTTTGTCTCCTTGCTGTCTTTGTCCTTTCGCCTCACGAAAGCTCCAACAAGCTGGGAAGGATTTGTTTATTTTCTGTTGTCAACCAGAGATTTGAAAACCATCCCATATTGATGGATCATCATTTTTAAATTGTCAACCACAATATTGATGAATCATATATCTATATATAGATTTATATTTTATATTGATGGATCATATTTCTTTTTATTGTCAACCACCGAAAAAGGGGCCAATTTTTGTGATCTGCGACTGCCCGGTGCCCAGAGCTTAAGGGATGGTCCTAGATAGGAAGGCTTGCTAACTGGGCTAGGATGTATGATGATTTTATGGAGGATATTATGTGTGCGTAGCAAGTATGTATATATATATATATTGATTTATAAGCCCATCTAACATCATCTAACATCATCTGACATCATCTAGCATCATCTAACACCATCTAAGTGTATAGATATATGATATATGATATACCATGATATATCTGTATAATTCTACATAGTTAGATGAATGGACTCCCTAAGCAACTGATAGCTGCTGCCCCTCCAACTCAACGAGCCTGGAGGGTGATGATGAACTGCGAGCGGGGCTGGATGATGCTGGATGTGAATAAACCCCATATCGATATGGGCCAAAACGCTGGTACCCTAGATACTCTAAGTCATAGCTGGTATAGCTGGATGTGAATAAACCGCAAATTTTGGTAGTTTCATAGGTGACTTGACCCATCTCTTATATCAATAACTTTGGTAGCTGTATCATGACTTCATAAGAATAAAACTGTTCGGCCAGAACAAACAACATGAACAGTAATAATGAGGTATTTCTGAAATCGGGAACTGGAACACGACCATCTTCAATAGGAACATCTACTTTCATATACCCAGTTCCCAGGAGTCTGCAAACAAATAGTTTGGTTGGCATGGCCTAGTACGTCTGGTTGGCATAAATCCTCCAGTAAACGAACATAGCAAGGGAAAATATGGACCATCTATAGATTAAGTACCAACATTAACTGGTTGGTGGTTTCAAACCCTCTGAAAAATATGAGAGTCAGTTGGGATGATGACATTCCCAACTGAATGGACAAATAATCCATTCATGTTCCAAACCACCAACCTGATTGAGTACCAAGATCTAGTTTTCCATAGCAAACTCTTAATTGACTAGAGGCCAAGCCGCTGAGTAGCACGATCCGAGCAACGGGGGATGATCTTTCGAGTGCTAGGCAGCGTCCCAAAGATAGGAAGCGGACAATCATCAAGGTGTTTAATGGGATGTTCAATGGGATTATAGTCTACCTACTGGTATCTTAAGCCTCTGGTAAACTAACAGTTTGCGAACTTGAACATGGCCATTTAGTTTTAGTGGATTTACCCATTCAAAATGGTGATTTTCCATAGTTAAACCTTAGTTTACCAGAGGGTACAACCCCCAGGCCACAGATAGAAAGCTACCAGCCTGGAAATACCATTCGGCATCTGGAGATTACCATTGGTGAAACCCTTGAAACTTCGCTCTTACTCAACTGATGTCATTCCGGCTGTTGTCCCCTGAGTTGAAGGAAGTGAGACATCTTGTCTTGGCTGTCTTGGCTGCCTCGTGTATCCACAATCTCATTCCAAAAGGCCTGGCTTTAAGAGAAAGGATCAGTCGTTGAATATTAGTCCGGCTGCACAAAACCGAGCGGGACCAGAACCGTTCCGCGATGTTCCGCGATAGTGTCACACTGCCGTCACAAGATAGACCGTGTCGCGTGTCGCGGAATTCCAGGCCCTGCAGGTATTTGAAGCCGTGAGAAGTTCTAGCAGCTTATCGATCTACATTGGCCTCACACCAGCTTCCCCAGAGATTGTGGATCAGCTCTGGGCTGTCTGATTCTTCTCCTTCGATCAGGATGATTTTGTAGGAACGCTAGGCCGCTACATCGTGATCATTTCCCCCACATCGAACTATTTTCTAGGTCCATGACCCATAGCATCCATGTATATATGGTATATATGCTAACATTGGGGGTATATTGATGGTAAATGTTGCCATATATAGCATACCGGGATCCTATGGGTGATGGCAGATGTCAAGCAAGACCTCTCCAAGTGCAAAATCAATCTGCGGATTTGCTCATCTTCGGGTTTCGGCAGAGAGCTGAGCCATGCCAGCCATGGCTGCTGCTCCATTACTGGGATGATCATACAGGACATCTGACAGCACGAGGAAAGGACTGCTTTCGATTTTAAGTGTCCTGTTTTTTTTTTGAAGCCGCACTCTTGCCTACGTGGTGCAATACATATTGCCAGTCAACCACAGAAAAAAGTATGGAAACTTGCTGCGCAACCCAAGAACCGCACGTTTTCAGAAAAGAATACTGTAATTAGTTAAATTGCACAAACATATTCCAACTCGTCCTTTGTTTTTTTTGGGTGGTCAAAGGGGTTGATGTTATTCAATAATTCTAGATACATCAAGATGTGCTGAAGACGTGACAGCAGCACCCAGATAAAGAACTATGAAAATTGTGACTAGTACTTACAGCAACTTGCAATTATATAATTATGATCTGTTGACTATGAAGACTAGCTACTTTGCAGAACTATGAAGATAAGTACATCTTCATGACCGCTCCAATGACAACTTTGTGGTGCTTTAATTTCTGGCTTTTCTGTATTGACCCCCAAATTCTGCATGGGTTTATAGACCGGGAATCTGGCAAATCTCCAGCTGGCCCGGGGGCTGGAATGGTGGCCTCTTTCTTCCTTTCTCCTTTGAAACTTTCTCCTTCGCCTGAAACGCAAAAATGGGCGCCGTTTCTTGCATCGCGCATCGCCAGGTTACTCACAGACTTGTTTGTTTGTAGTGAAATCTTTTAGGAAACACCCAACAAAAAACACTTGGCAAAAGAAATAATCACATGTTTGCTGTATAGCAACCTGCAAGTAGATAGAACAGTTAAACACAGTACGGCCATGGGATGGCCATGGGAAAACATGATCCAAGTACCATTGGGACCTGAGCTTGGGATCATCCAACTGCTGTGGCCAAACACATTGGGAGAATTAGCCAGGAAATAGAAGCATTGATCGAAAAAAAGGTTGCATTTCGTACCCCAACTCAACTAGTTACATTTGAACAAAGATCATGGGAGTTACGAAACAAATGACACCAACACTTCGTTCCTCCAAAGAGCTGGTTGGGTTATTCATGGGGAAAAAACAAACAAACATGGGGTGCAAATGGGATTCTAATTGTAAATAGTATGGGATCCACAACAACACGGATTTATAGATAGGGGGGTATTAATCACCACCGCGACACCGAATCTGAAGTCAGATGCCAAATCAACATGTATAATCTTGAACCATGACCATCAAATGTTCAGGGGTTATATAACAACTATTTATAGAAGCACTAAAAAATGATGCTGATATATGTTCAACCATTCAAAATGCCCGGAATGTCTGTGGACCCCACCATTTCAAACCTGACATGTCCCATGTGTGAAACTTTCACATGACAAGATTGTGCCCCCCCCCAGTGATGCTTGTTGGTTTGTAGCCCCCATGAATACTATATAATTTATAATTACAATAAACCCTAATGAAATACTACGTAGGTATTTAAGAGTCATATAAACCAACTTAGCTGAGTCAGGGGCACCACCTTTTACCATTGAAGAACCAAATAGACAAAAACAAATTGACTATGTTTTGCACGCTTCTGCTATATGGGGGTTTCCTAAAATGGGGCATCCCCAAAACCATGACCAATGAGTTTCAATACGAAAATGGTTTAAATTTGAATGATTTGGTGAATACTCCTATTTTGGGAAAACTCCATATTACGGGGATGGGTTCAAATTGGGTACCGCAAAGATTTGCGTGGTGCACTACTAACACAAAGCAACGTCTTTGATCCCCTGGGTCTTAAATATTGAGCCATGTTTCCATCTGTGATCATCCGTGTTTTCTCGGTGTTTCTGTGTTTCAATAAATGGTGTTGCCTGAAAATGGTATACCCCAAAATCCAACAGTTATCGTAGTTATTTGTCACCTAGTAAACTAACCATTTTGGAGATATATCATGATATATCACATTTTCAGACACACCAAAAAAGGTTTCCTAAATTGGGGGTACAAAAGGTAGCTGAATGGTTTACAATCCCTATGGATCCAAACACTGTCTGAGAAGGTACAAAAAAGCCTCCAAATTATAGTAAATTATACCCCAGCCCCACTTCCTAAGAAGGTACTTGGATCCATAGGGAATGGAAAATCTCATGGATGATTTGGAGGTAGCCATCCCTTTTTGGGAAACCTCCCCTTGCCACCTTGGAGCGTTTGACGCTTGCACTGGAGCTGCTGGGTTCACGCGTCTGGCGTCTGGACGTGTCTGAAAATGTGGTACACCCATTTAATTGCCATCTAATGGGGATGATACTAATCCGCTTGGTGGTTGCAACCTACCACTCTGAAAAATAATGGAGTTCGTCAGTTGGGATTATGACATTCTCAATATGTGGAAAGTCATAAAACATTTTCCAAATCACCAACCAAATGGGGATGATACTAATCATCCATTGGAATTGAAGGACTTTTTTTCAGACAAACCCGAAAGTTGGGTCAAGTTACATGTGACTAGTGTCTTATGGCATGTTATGTCATGTTCTAACATCTTCTTAACTGGGCATGTGGGATAAATGTAATCGTCATTCACTAGCTCGTTGTTCTCCTCTATAGTTTATTCTCATGATTTTAAAACTTGTTTGTTGTTTTTTTTTTGATTTGTTTTTTGCATTTGTCTCCGTTTTCTTCCAGTTTGTTGATTCTTAGAATAAACTATGGTCTGGTGAACATAACACTAGTTACAGTTTCTAAGACATTCAATGTACTCCGGATGAGGTGGTCTTGAAACAGCTTTGGGAATTACCCTCTGGTAAACTAACTCGAAGGTCTGCGCCAAGGTACTTTCTCGTTTGTGGTCTTGCTCACGTCAAGTGTCTGTCTCAAGTATCCCCATTGAAACACGACGGACCTAAATTGAGGCCATTCGGGGATAGTATAGTTACCCCATACAATTCAAGGCCTCTCGCCATTGAAAAGGCGCTCTCGCTTGGAGCTCCGTAAAACTGTCGCATCCAATCATCCAACCCCAGGAAAGGAAGCTGGTGATTGGGGGCGACCCGGGGATGAGGACTGTATGATTGTTTGCTTTTCCGTATCATGCATAAAATGCCGCCAACACCTCCAACATTCCAACTACCTTTGCCACTTTCACTATGAGAGGAAGCGCTCCAACGCCAACTTGTTGTTCTGATGGATTGCTCACATGCTTTGTCCAATTTGTCTACGGTGGTCATAGGCAAACACTGCATGAATGGAAGATTTACCTTCAAACTCTTTGATGACCGAGGTGAACCACACCATATTTAAATTCTCAAACCTCTTCAAGGTCCGGGCTTGCACCATTCGAACTGGCATTTGTTTGCCTGATTGGAAATCTTTATTTCAGTGGAACCAATGGATTTTTACACATCTGGTTGGTGGTTTCAACCATCTTGAAAAATATTATGTAGTCAATGGGAAGGATTATCCCATATATTATGGAAAAATATATAAAACATGTTCCAAACAACCAACCAGATTTTTACACATGGTTCAAACGCATCTTGAGATCGTCAAACACCCTCCGACCCTCCCTCCGGCGTCCTTGCGAGGGCCGTCCGAGCTGCTCCTCAGAATGAATTCCATGAGTCCATTGAGGTGATCTGTACCAACAGAAAACATATCATGGGGGCACAGCAGTATATGGTATGAACAGATATTATGTATTAATATCTATAATCTACCAGTATATGGTATGTATTTAATCTACCAGTATATGGTATGTATTTTATTTTACTATATATATATATATATATCTATTATCCATGATACCGGTAGATTAAATTAATGGTAGAATTTTCCAATAAATATGAATTATGGTATGTAAACTAAATATGGTGAAATTGTTGTACATGTGGATAATGGTATAATTTGGTAGGGCAAAACAGTATACATACTTGAGATTTTTGATGCAAACATCTGAGCTACCCAAAGAATATCCAAGAATCATGTGTGAGATGCTCGAACTCCAACTATGTCCAACTTAAATTGATGTCCTTCGGTTTTGGAACCTGGCTGTGGACTATGGCCACCATCTGAATTAGCATCCTACCCGTCAGGCCGTGAAGTTCATGGTTTGTTAACCCATAGAGAAGCCATGTAGAAACCATGGGTCACTAGCTACAGTTGCTACGGTTGCTACCCCACTTAACTGGAATACACTGTCGGCTCAGGAAGGTGATCCAGTCGATGGCGCACCGATGGCGCGATGGCACTCTGTATCTCCAACCAACGTCGGGGCGGCTGGAATCGTTTGTCAAGATTCCCCGTTCCTCCTGGACTACCTAATATGATCTAATCTGGGTAAATTATAATAATTCACTAACCTGAATAGTTGGGCCATTTGTGGATGATTTCCCTTACTAACTATGATTCCAGTGAGGTCGCAGTGAGGTCGTTATAATTTACCCAGATCTAATATGGGGTTGTCTGAACATAGGGGATATCCCCAAATGGCTATTCCAATAGGGAACATGAAGTCCTAGTCCATTGGAATTGGGTGTGTTCTCCTAAAAAAATCAGACTTTCCCGGTATACCGTACAATCCCCTATAGTTCCTATAATCATCAACCAACCATCATTTATCACTAAAAAATCACATCCCCATATTTTTCATAGTTAACCAGTTAACCCCCCAGAAAACCCCAACAAATTATGGTTAATTCATCAACCAACAGAAGCTCAACAGCAGTTTTCAGAGCTCCCCGACTTGCGTTTCTTCTTGCTATCCGCCTGCAACGACAAAATGTGTATCAAACACCTCCCAACCTCCCAACAAACCTGCTGTTTTACCTTATGGGAATTCAACACAGCTACAGGATGGGGCCCCCAGTCGATAGCGTTCAGTTGGTTTATAAGTGGCTTAACAATGGTTTATGGTAGATATAACTATAGTTAATGGGGATTATAATGGTTTATAAACCAACTTATAACTGGGGGGCCCATCCTGTATGGGATAGATCCATTTAGTTCGAGGCCTTACCTCTTCAAAATGCTGTTTTTTATGGTTTTTCCTTAGCTATGGCATGCTATGGCTATGTGAAATTGCCAGCAACTTGTAGATCCAGAAATTCATGCGTCCATCTTTGCTGGGGAGCAGAATCTTTGATCCAGCTATACTGGTCAGAACCTCATCATGCCAAGGACTCTGGTGAAGAGTTGTGTTTCCTAATGAACATTGCCATAAACTGAGGGTAAATCTCAATGTTCATTGGTCAATGGCCATTTCAGGAACCTAAATTGGAGGTACCTACCATATATAAGGCCTATATAAGGCCCATGTAAGGGAATATCCCCACAAAATATGGCCTTATATGGTACAGTACCTCCATTTTAGGATCCTGGAGTTCCCATTGAATTGGTGAAATCCCGATTCTTTGGCTGAATCAATTGTCCCAATCGCAATTGACGGCTCCGTTGGCTCAACCACCAATCCAGTGCTAGTTGAATATATACCCCTCTGACCCAGCTATAAATGGTGATTTTCCATAGTTACGTTAGTTTACCAGAGGGTGTATATATATATATATACAGTGTATATATATATATATATGAATATGTATAATTCTATTTCATCCCCATGAGGGTTGGCTTTCTTTATACCACCATTGTTCAGGGGTACGTCCATCAACTCATCATGTTACCGGCTGAAAATTCCACTGGAGAAGAACACCTCCCATTTGAATTTCAAATCCACATAGTTTCATCCGTTTGAAGTCAAAACCATATTCAACTCACATTTTAGTTCATTTCTACTGTAAATCCAGTTTTCAAATGCTTAAATCCAGATTTTGGCATAATTTGGCCTGGTTGAACTTCCATTTTCCATCATATTTCCTGGTAAAACCTCCATTTTCCCTCATGTTTTTCTGGTGAAACGTCCATCTTTCATCATTTTTCCTGGTAAAGCCTACATGTTCCATAATTTTCCGATAAAACTCTGACGCCTTGCCACGCACAAGGCGAAATCCATCGCGCCTTGCCATGCATGGCCGCCTTGGCGGCTGCCTTGAAGGCCGCCGCACGGCCGGGCCTTGGGCGATTCGGCGGCCTGGTTTATCTGGTTGGTAAGTAGCATTGATATCCCCAAAGTAGCATTGAAACACCCCCAAAACCAGAGTGGATGTAGGGATTTACACATATTTTGGACCATAGAATGAAGTTGTGTAATATGAACGAGGGGATAGGATTATTCAGCCAGTTATAAGTAGGATAAGCCCCATAAATAAACTATAGACCATAGATGTATCCACCATACTCCATATTTGGGGATAGGATTATCAAGAATCAATAGCCATTTCAGGAACCTAATTGGAGGTACCTACCATATATAAGGCCTATGTAAGCGCTATGTAAGGGGATATACCCCCAAAATATGGCCAAACATATGGTACAGTACCTCCATTTTAGGATCCTGGAATTCCCATTGATTTATACTATGAAATCACTGGATTATCTGGTTGATGGTTTCAACCTACCCCTCTGAAAAATGATGGAGTTCGTCAGTTGGGCTGATGAAATTCCCAATATATGGAAAGCAAAAGTCATGTTCCAAACCACCAACCAGTTATACTATAAAACCATTGGATTCTAGTATAATACTTATATATTGATATACCTATATCTATAAAATCTAACGAAAGTGCAATGTGGGGCTAGTTATAAGTTGGTTTGTAAACCCCATTAACTATAGTTATGAGTATCATAAACCGTAGTTATTGGAATTATGAACCAACTTAGCTATCTTGCGGGTCCCACATTCTAGTGATTATATTTCTTAACCAGTATACTTATATCTGTAAATATCTAGGCATTAAACAAATACAATCACATATATATATATATATAATCCTAAATCTATAGCAGCACAGAACAACTTTCAATCATTATAGTGATTATGACATTAATTACAACTAGAAACTTACTTTCTATAGTATCATATAATCACTGTAATACTATACTTGTATCACTCCATACGTTTCGGTGTCTTTCTATAGTCGTGGGACCCCCAAGGCACACTGGATGAAAATAGGTGTACTGGGGGCCCCCATGACTGAGCGGAAACATCATGGAATTGCTAGGTTTATAAACTTATATAATTAGTGGTTTCAACCCAACTGAAAAATATTATATAGTCAGATTGGATCATCATCCCAACTATTGGGGAACATAAAAAAAATGTTCCAAACCACCAACCAGTTATAATTTGGGGGCCGCCATCAAAAGAAACTGCTAAGATTGGAGAAATCATTGATCCAGTGGTGAATTGAGGGAGCGGTGAGCTAAGCTATGGCTATCTATTTTTCGGAGTTTCCCAACCATATAATAGTCCTGGATCAAGCATTGGAAATTGGCAGCTTAGGTTGGACATATATTGCCATGAACATAAATATGCAACCATGTCTAGAAATATTGAAAACAAATCTTTCTAAGATTGAAATGATGAAATGGGAAGACATTTATTGAAATCTATTTGAAGAATCCAGCGTATAACAGGAATGGTTAATCAGTGAGCATTATCGAAAAACACAATAATTGGAATGGATAATAACCACTATTGTTAAGAATATCTATTGTTCTCTAACGTACTGATTAATTTCAGATATCTAATAACAATTCTTCGTAATTGTTGTTAAGAGGGATGAATGATTCCTGTGGCTATGCAGCTGGGTGATAGCAATGATATGTATATATAAATATATGTATCGAAATATGACGATTATTAATCACTGACAATGAATATTTACACTGATGGTTATTAACAAGATTGATCCAACGGTATTTTGTTATGTGTATTGTTTTTTTTTCATGTTTCTCCAATACTTGTTCAAGATTGGGTTCAAAAATCTACTCTAAAGGGCAAATTGTAATTGCATTTTGTTTTGATGATTTACAGTGATCGCTTGCATGATTTGCCCCAAACAAATCGGATGGTTCCACACATGACCAGACGTTGCCAAAGCCGCTCTGGATCAGTTAATGTTTTGAAACAGGATGGTATGTGCTATTGTCAAAACGTGGGTTGTATTCCCCTATTGGGCGATGGATCGATATGGTCATCAACCCATTGATCTAGGGATGGTCGGACGACCATGCCCCATATATATCATGTTTTAATGATGGCACATATAGATACATATAGTATATCAAAAAGGCTTGAACCATCCGTCGTCCAAACGGCTCCGAAACCGCGGTCATTCTTCCAACCTGCAGCCTGACTCTCAAAGGATGCTTGTACATACTGTTCTGGTTGGTGGTTTCAACCCCTCTGAAAAATATGAGTTGGGATGATGACATTCCCAACTGAATGGAAAAATAATCCATTCATGTTCCAGACCACCAACCAGTATTATTATATATATATATATTGATATACCTATATCTATAAAATCTAACGAAAGTGCAATGTGGGGCTAGTTATAAGTTGGTTTGTAAACCCCATTAACTATAGTTATGAGTATCATAAACCGTATAGTTACAGTTCAAATCATCTTTTCCACCGGTGAACCATTCCCTGCCCGAAGGCCAAGCGACGCAGCCGAGGAGGCGGCCGTGACCAAGGCGCGCTGGCGATTGCGAAGGACGATGGCCATATTTTTTCTGGGGGAAAACATGGGAAAACTACAAATACAGAAGTGGGATTTAAATGGATTTAACCATATTTAATTATATTGAATTATATTTAATTGTGTTTAATCATATTAACTCATACTTTTTGTTATATTCAATCCATAGAGCCGTAGAAAAAAATTAGGGGATCACCTACCTGAAAGGACGGTTGAATCCCATGATGGAAACACATGGAAAAAACACATATCAATGGAGGACTTAAATCCACAAATATATGGTGGTCAATCATCAGTAAAAATGTCTAAGTGTCTATCTATTTAAATAGTGAGTGTCAGTGTCCGTTTTTTATTGGTTGGTAATCAGAATATGTCAGAACCCAAAGCTAAAACTGTCCTAAAATGACCATCTATCCATTCTTTAAAGGCATGAAACCAAGAATCTATCATGGACACCGAAGACCCTTGTATTGTTTTCTCTTTTTTACGTTTTTACCAGCCAAAAGATCAGAGGTTGCTGTAAATGTTCCCTCTAACAAATACAGGGAACAATGGGCTCAATGCCTTCTGAACCAAACTTGACCCTGGGTGAGAAACTTGGAGAAATTGATCAGGTTTTCTGGCAATTCACCGAACAGAAACTGGTGGTAGATTTTAAAAGCACAATGAGTTTGTCTGACATTAAAGGAAACCCACGAGGCTCGGACAAGGTCATACGCCTTTCATATGCCCAATATTTCAATGCAAGTTTGGGGATTTTTGATGATTTTTGGGGTATATATCGCCATTTGTGGACACACCCAAATGATGCTTCGTATCAAACATGTGAATCTCCTTTTTCAGGACTCCGCATGAGTTTCCTAGTGGAGTCCTTGGCGAATGGGCGAGTCAACCTCTGCCAGAAATAAACCCATTTTTGGTCAACTCACAAAAATCACAACTGTTCCCAATTTCACCACAATTGAATGGTATAAACTGTATAAACCATTCAATTATGAGGTGGTTTCATGTTGATTGTAGTGATTTAAGCCGCGTTAACTTCATCGAGTCCTGAGCGTTGAGCTGTAAAAAATGCCCTCTGGTACCTCGTTGAATCCCGACAATTCAGCCTCGTTTGTAAACGTCTACAGTTCGTTACAGAAAATCACCATGGTTTGTTACAGGTAAACCAACGAACTCAACATCTATATCCCATAGTATCCATGTATGGTATATATATATATGTATATTCTAACATTGGGGGTATATTGATGGTAAATGTTACCATATATAGCATACATGGATCCTATGGGTATGGGCTATTTTCATTTTTTTCAATAGCAAACTGTCTGTTACACATTACCAGAGAGTACCACCATTTAATCCGGTGCTACCCCTGGTAAACTAACATAGTTATGGAAATCACAATTTTTAATGGGTAAATCAAGTATAAATGGCCATTTTCAATAGCTATGTTAGTTTCCCAGAGGGTAATTGTTATAAAAATCAAGCCAACCAACATACCCCGCCAAGGTTTACACGGTTTCACGTTTCACCTCGATATGGTGCTGATCAAATCATCCCATTTTTCCATGGGCGAATCCACCCACGGGCTTACCCAACTATGATTGATACAAGGCCAAAAGACATAGCCAAGTTGACCTATAGTGTGGTTAAATAGGCTTTATGGTGGATATGACTTGATATAACTATACTTAATGTGGGTATATAAAGCAATGCCATAAACTGGGGGATGGTGCAAATGGCATTGTCAATAGGGTTTGTAAACCAACATTCACATCGGCCTCACCTTGATATCCTTTTTTTTTGGAACAGGAGTGCGCCATAGCGGAGCAACAGCTCTCTAGGTTCCCTTAGGAGTATGAACTTCTGCCCATCGAAGGGGCCAACGACAGGTTTCTGTTGGGTTTTACTATCTTGAACTAGTTAGAAGGGGTATCATAAACCAACAAAACTATACTTGGATGTTGCTTGAACCCCTCGTCAACACATATTCATCCAAATGTTTGAATGGTTATCCGACAAATTCATTCCAAAGTTCGCTGGTTAAGCCAAGTGAACCATGTTCTTTCAACCATCTTTCATCAATGTTTGAATGGCTCCCCTGGAAAGGTCACTTGGTTTAGTTTCACACCCAATGCGCTCAAAGAGATCGGGAAGAGATCTGAGAGTCGCGAAGTTTGAGCCCATCCGAAGCTTCAGAGTGGTTTCTTGAAGTTTGGCTGTTGCTTGAAACGACCAGTTCTCAAACGCTTTTGGCATTCGACCGTTGATAGACCTGCCTTCGACGACTAGGTCACGAAGTAGCCCTCTCCCCCATGGTCCCATCGCACCCCTGCATGGAAGCAGACGCCGCTTTCCACGTTGCAGTGGCGTAACTTTCCATGACCTCGTCAGCGACGCCCAGTGACCACCTATGACGGGTAACGGTCAGTTTGCATTGGCTGTACCCAATCCTTCTCCAGCC